AGTCTTCGAACGTTCTCTCACAAAACAAGGTTTAATATTCAAACTAAACACAAAAGTTTTATCAGCTACTCGTATTGATACAACAATTACTGTGGCCACGGAGGCCTCTAAAAGCGGAGAGGTAGAAAATTTGTCGTGTGACACTCTTCTAGTCTGCATTGGTCGGCGTCCCTACACTCATAATCTAGGTCTGGAGACAGTTGGAATAAAGACTGATGAGAAGGGACGTATTCCTGTCAATAAATTGTTCCAAACTTCCGTACCAAGGTGAATCAAACTTGTGGCGACAATATTTTTTATATTTAATGTGTATTGATCCCATATAGCGAGTTTTAATTGACATTGTCTTTGTATATGCTAGATAATACGAGTTCAAGACATCAGAGCCTGTTTCTCAAGCTTTTTCTTGACATGGTTCCCCGATTCATTCTTTGCTATAGGTCGGGATCACTATTTTGTCGTTAATTATTGTATTTGTGGTTTACTGCTCTCATTATTATTGTTTGTCTACATCATTCTCTGCAGATATAATCTATTGATACAGGATACTCTTATTTTATCTGCATTTACATAAATAGCTCATTAGCATTTTGTTGAGTTGCTACGTTACATTTCATAGTCTCGTTCTGATTTTCGTATTTACTCTTCGGATCTTGATATTTCACTTGGTAAGCTTTGATCCGTCTAAGTATTGACCTATCCATGCATTCATTTACGGATGCTTAAGACTAGATGTAGTCACTGCTCCATAAGAGGAAAATGATACCTTGTTTATTCTTAGTCTAGCACTTGATTTAATGTTGTTTTTTATCATTTATATAAATCGATTCAATATAAGAAAAGTTTCGATAAGATTTTCATGCTATACATAACATGCATTCTTGAATCATCTACTTCTAGTGTTTACGCTATAGGAGACTGCATTCCAGGACAGATGTTGGCACACAAGGCCGAAGATGAAGGCATTCTCTGTGTTGAAGGGATATGCGGTGGAGCTGTTCATTTGGACTACAATTGCATCCCCAGCGTTATTTACACGCATCCTGAAGTTGCCTGGGTTGGCAAGACTGAAGAGGCATTAAAAGAAGATAAAATGCCTTATAAGTAAG